CTCTAACACGTGGGCCTTCGGCAGCCATTCCAGATCCAAACTGTAACGCCCACCTTAGGATTTGGGGCCTTCCAGACCTTGGTTTGACATTTGCCTTGACCTCATTCTGACTCTGTGTGACTTCAGGTAACTCACATCTCCTCCCTGAGCCTTTTCTATGGAATGAAAAGAAGACCCAGTGACCACAGGCACTGCAGAGGGGGGAGAAGAGAGTGCGTAGCTGACCACTGCACAGCAYTGTCCACAGTCAGCACGACAGAGTGCTGATTTCTGTGTAGCCTCTGCTGGGATCCCTCTAGCCATGGGGAGCTCTGTGTCTTCCAGAGCTGCTGCCTCACCCATGGATCACCTAGGAGTGGCTCCTGTACTCAGCCTCATCTGACCCACCCACTGTGGGCCACCTCCTTTTTCAACAGCCCGGGAYACCAATAAGCCATCAGTGCAGAGGGCAGCCTCCCACCTGGGCAGACGTGAACAGTGATATGAAAGGGAAGCTCCTCACCTGGCWGAGATGACACAGAGGGGACCCGCCCCCAGCCTTCACATACTCTTGGTGATAACTCCCTCCCACCCTGGGAGCTGTTCTGGGCAATCGACGCCCCAGGACGTAAGGCCCTGGTCCCAGCGTCTCCATAAGATGCACCTGGGCACGGTGCGTTTAAAGGAGTRGCAGCAAGCTTAGAATGGCAGAAACCAACTCCCAGAGTCCTACAGTGAGCAGATGGAAATAAGAGTCCATCAGGGGAAATCCCATACGATTGCCCTCCTGCCTGCAGCTGTGTCCTGAAGGTGGAGGTCACCCCCCTGTGATCGGAGAAAACTTGCTGGTCCTCACTTTGGAGTCCCGTCTCGGTGATCGTCACATTTGCCCATGCAGATGTCCTTCGTATCAGCTCACTGAGGTGGGCACAAGGAAACAGGGAGACAATAATGGTTTGAAGCCAGTTACTAAAAATTGAGCTGAAGGTTTAMCACCTCGGGCTTTGGAGCGGCTCACTCAAATCCTAGCTGTGTGCCTCTCGGTGCCTCTGTAAAATGGGGTCGAGAACATCTTCCTCGTGAACAGATGCTGTTCATGGAGTGCTGAGCACAGGGACAGGCACCGGGCAATGCTTCACTGTGGACAGTYGGCATTGGCGGTTGTGGTGTTATGGTAGAGCTTGAGAGAAACTCCACCACCCTCCCATCCTGTGCTCAGACCCCAAGACACTTTTTCCAATGCCCGCTGGCCCTGTTGCAATGGTTGCATTAAGCATCTTTGCTCTGTTCCTAAGGACCATGCAATGACTTCAGTCCTTGAAATGCACCTAAACTGTGATGTGGGGTCKGATGGGCATAGTTCAGATTCTCACATCACCCTCGTTCCTATGTAACAGGCTGTATATGACCTCTGCAAAAGGCCTGCTCATGCACGCATATGTACATGCATGCTCACACACACTGATACACATGCACACTCACACACGCTCACACACGCTCACGCGGAGCACGACGAACAAGTAAGCCTGTCCTGATCATCAGATGACTTGCTAAGTCACCTCCAGGAGGGAGAAGAAGGGAACCTGGATTCCTGGAGGCTTACCTGGTAGAAGGAACTACCACCTGGAGCCTTGGAGATGCAGGGAGGCCACGCCATGGACCCTCCGGGTCACCTTAGGCAGTGATTTTAGTTCTCTGAGCCTTATTATCTTTTTTTCTGTCTGCCCCCACAACAGTGAACCCCAGAAACCCACCCTTCATTAAAACTCAAAGCTTCCCTCTTTCCAAACAGCACGATCTAATCAATCATAGAAAGGGAGAAAATGGACCTCAGCTGTCCATGATGGTAGCTACTAACTCTATGAGGTTATTTGATCTTAATTCTGAACAATTAAAATGAAATAAAATTTAAAATCCAGTTCTCTGTTGCAAATACCATATGTCAAATCTCAATAGCTATGAGGCTAATGGCTACCATTACTAAATGGCACAGATAAAGAATATTTCGATTGTTACAGAGAGTTCTATCAGACAGCACTCATTTAGACCATCCAGCCATTATGGATAATAACAGTGACAGATAATAGTCATTAGTTCTAGTATAGATATTAGATGTACACCTGCAAAATAGGAACTAGGGAGCTAAACAGCAGAAGAGCATACAGTTACTGGGTACCTACTTTAGATAGTGCTRTGAAAGGAACCTGTCCCCACCTTGCCCCTGGTTCCCATACTGAAACCCCAATCCCTAAAGTGACGGGATTTGGAGGTGAATTATTGGGAGATAATTGTGTTTAGATGAGGTCATGAGGGTGGAGCCCTCCTGAGGGATCAGTGCCTCTATAAAAACAGGAAGGGACACCAGAGCTCTCTCTTTTCCATGTCATTCGAGGACACTGTGAGATGTGGGGGCCATCCATAAGGCAGGAAGAGAGTCCTCACCAAGAATCAAATCAGTTGACACCTTCATTTTGGACTTCCGGCCTCCAGAAATAGGAGTCAATGAGTCTGGTCAAGCTTCTGTAATTCACATGAACTGGGTTCTTCACCCTGAAACCAGTTTTGAAAAGAGCACATCTTCCTGGGGGGAATACCCAGCGTGCCCTGTGGCTCTCAGCAGGAGGCCAACTGCAGCCTCTGGGAAAGGCCAGGGCCGTCCCTGTGTTTATTTTTGCAATGAATGTCTTCAGTGGCTGCAGTGTCTCCACCTCCCCAAAGGTTTCCAAATGGATTTTCTTCTAGGTAATGATGAACAGACAGCTAAATGTCAGCCCTGGATGTGAGAAGACTAGAGGGTGGGTTGGGGGGTGGGGGTGGGGTTCCGTGCACTTCTAAATCTTTACTGCCACCTGGTGGTCAGTTTGTATTAGGAGACTGGAAACCTTGATGCAAATTGCTCAGTGCACCCAAAGAGGCAAAGAAGAGGGTGTGAACCTGGGCTGCACCCACATCCAGAGCCAAGCAATGAAYGTATGTTATCATCTCAGTCAACTGACAACAGCCTCAGGCAGGGAGAACTTTCCTGCACACTTTCGAAGTGAGAAAAAGGGCTCAGAGAAGCTGAAAACCTATTTTATTTGAAGAACATTTGCATGAAAATTTACATGCATTGTTCCCAGAGCTACTGAAGGTTTGCACTGGATTTAGTTAAACTCTGAGAGGAGATTAATAATCCTGGGTTTATTCATGATTATTATTATCCTTTTTTGTGAAAAGATCAATGGAGTAACAAACATTTATTGAGTATGTGCTTTAAACTGGACGTTATTCTAAGATTCCTGCACATTAACTTATTTAAACTTCATTCTGACCTGTGAAGTTGGGTACTGTTAATCCCCTCATTTTTCAGATGACAGAATGAAGACACAGAAAGTCTAAGTAGTTTTTCCCAAAGTCACACAGCTTGTRTATGCTGGGATTTCAATGCAGTCTGGCCACAGAGCTAGTAATCTTAATCACTACATTATATACCATCTCCCAGACAAGAAGGGATATCTAAGGCCCGTCCCTAATATCAGTTAAAAAAAAACTCAAGGCACCGTGAAATCTATACTGTCATAAAGAGCCACCTGACCCAGATGGTCCCTAGGATATTGTTATATCTAGATCATCCTTTCTTGTGACTTTGTGATCATCCTTTCTTGTGATTATGCAAATTAATGTTTCAACAGATTGGGCCATAAGTCACACTGTAAGACCAGGAGCCGTGTTTCCTTTTTTGGTCCACAGCCATCCACATACTCAACAAGCACAGGAGTGTTGTGCAGAAACCCCAAGCTCAGGAGGATGATGATGACAGCAGCCCTTGCCCCAGTCACAGAGGAGCGGGGGAGCTGGTGATAAGTCCCAGGAGGCAGGAGGCTCYGAGTGCAAAGGAAGCTCAGAGCAGGGACACAGAACCCAAGCTGGGGAGAAGAATCCAGGAAGACTCCCTAGAAGAAGTGACACCCCAGCCATTGGGAGGGGAGTACATCTCGGTTTCTGCTTCCTTCCAAGGGCAGGTTCTACCTGGCCTGTCTCTGGCTCTTCTTTCACTCAGCACTCAGAGTTGGAGAGGGACTTATGTGATTCACAATCTGGGGACACATAAACCAGGGTCATGTGACCACACACTGCTCTTCTTTAGAGAGAACCTCCTGCTCACCACTATGTCCACCTGGAACCCAACGTCACTCCTCTGAGCTACCCAGGAGCTCAGTTGTGAGGAAGCTGACTGCAAAAGGCAGGAGGGGGCAGCAGAACAAGATGGGAGGTGATCGGCCTGGATTCCTGGTGGCTCCCAGGCAGATGCCAATCCACGTGAGGTTCAGGAAGGGGACATGCGGTGGCAYTGTCTGCCAGAGTCCTTGTTTGGGTAGGAAACTGCTCTCCAGCTCCGAGTGGTTCGAGGTGGGGAGGGGCTACAACCACAGAACCCGCATCACTCTCCAGCGTGGACAGAGATGGCAGCGTGACACAGTCTGGGCCAAACGCATTTCTCCAAGAAATGGCAGCTGGAGCCGAGTTGGACAGCAGCAGTGTCCCCTTCTGTTCCTCCTAAATGTTGGCACAGCTATTGTTGAAGTTGCCCTTGGTTAGTTTCTATTCTTATAACCAAAGAGCCCTACTGTCCGCCATGCTCCTTACTTGGACGTGAGATGCCATCCTGCCTGGGAAGAATGTTCTGGCTCGCTCTAGTAGAGTTACCCCTGCCCCAGCCTGCCTCCCTCCAGGCACTCACCCCCTCACCACTGGGTGAGGGCTGAGCTCTAGGGTGGGGAAAATCCAGCGCTTCTCCATTCCTGCTGGCCTGGCCTCCCTCCAGCTCATGCCTGGCTGCCCCCACCACTCCTACACCCCTGCAGCTCAACAGTGAGGGCTGTGTCCTCCGCAGACTGGGACTCCCAATTCGTGGAAGTTTCGCGTCTGTCGTCTTATTTGTCGTCCACCCCCACACACAGCCATCCTGGGAGAATGGTCTCCATTCTACAGATGAGGAAAGAGGTTCAGAAAGGTTAGGTAACTTTCCTAAGGTCACATACCTGGTGAGTGACAGAATCAGGATATCACTGAAGGGAAAAGGCCAGTGTCCTGAGGCACCAACATAGCACTCAGTGGGAKAGGAAGCTTTGAAGCAGCCACTGGATCTCTCTTCCTCCTGTTCCCAGAAACCAGGCCTCACAGTCCCTCAGGCCTGACTCCTTTGTCACATGTCATGAGGCAGAGATGACTAAGATAGCAGAAAGTTTTTCCAACATGCTGGAATCTGTATTGCTGTCAGGATTAAGGGTCAGGATGGAAAAGAGAGATCATGATACAAATAGCTGGCTGCATGTTCTATTAGGTTTCATGTTCCATCCTCCCTCAGCTGCCGCTGGAGGGGAAGGGCTCAGCCCTCCTCTACAGGCTGTTCCTCTGCTTACCCTGGTTTCTGGAAGGTAGAAATAGCTAATCTGATAGGTCAGGTCTAGAACATTCCTTGGCCCCATTTCCATCAGTAGATAGTCAGTACCATCCTGCGTTTTTCCATCCTCTCCTTGAGTCTGTATAATAGGCAGACCCAGGTCAGCCTGTCATCGCAGGGAGGCAGGACCAACTTCTTTCCTGCCTGTCCACATCTGCCACTAAGTGGGCAAACCAGGCTGGAAGCAGCTGCAAGCCTCACTTCTATTTTCAGCTCAACTTTGAACATTCTGAAGCAACAGTCTCTCAACTCAGCCATAAAATAAGTGGTGCTTTTGTCCCCCACTTAGCAGGAGTTGTGCTAATAAGTGTTAAACACCCAACTCTTGTTGGGGGGCAAAAACAACACTGATCTGCCAGTTTCCATAATCTGACAATTTCCATATGTACATACTCTCACTGTGGCCAACTTCAAGGTGCCAACACAACATCATTAGGAAGGCATTCACATTGGCATACCATTACGTAGTTATTGCCAACCTACAGATGCATTAGGCATAAGCAGCCTCAAGAGCAGAGATAATAGTAAAGTATAGCAATATACATATACATAGACAGGAAATGATGAACTGTCAATATTTATCTTAGTTTTAAATATAGTTTAATTGTAAGTTAATGCCATTTAATTTTTTAATAATAGTTGTGTTTAACAGTTCACAAAATTCTTGAACATTGGATAATCTGCTCTTGTGAGCCACACATACTGCTTCCTCCAAGCCACCCTGCTTATCCAGTATACCTGGCAATGGGTGTTCCTGCCATCACACTTCCCAGTGCATATTTTCCTTTGGGGGAACAACCTCTTCCATTCCATGTTGTTCTGGAGAAGCTGACAATCACACGATCCCCATCCTACTGGATGCTGATAACAGGAGTTATGACCAAAACTGGGCAAGCTGTGGGGCGAGTGGTAGATGCCAGGACTGGGTCCGTGCATTCCTAGGAACTCACCCCACTCACCCACCCTTACTTGGTAAGTTGTGGGCAGCAACCCAGACAGCCCAAACACATGCCTGCTAGTATTCATGCTTATTAAAATATCCTGGACCTACTCTCCTCACCCTGATCTCTTGCAGGTTGTGCTCCTTCCCGGCAGGGTCACTGGGACTGATTGTGGCTTTATGCAAGGGCCACACCTCCTGTTCTGCAGGGTCTCTTACCACAGAGGCTCTCTGTTCCTCCCTCCCCTTACTCTTGCTGGTGGTTTCCCACCCTACCTTTCATAGTCAAGAGCCTGTCTTTGTCGGTGATGGGGAGTTATATTGGATAGCTTCTAAACAACAGGAGCTTATTTCGTACAATTCTGGAGGCTAAGTCCAAGATCAAGGTGCTGCCAGATTCTGTCTGATGAGGGTCAGGTTCCTAGATAGTGCCTTTTAGCTGTGACCTCACATGGTGGAAGGAGGGAAGGAAAGGCCTTTTGGCTGAGATTGATACCCTTATAAAAGAGTCCCCAGAGAGTCCCCAGAGAGGGGACTCTTTTATAAGGGTATTTATCTCATCCGTAAGTGTCTTACCTCGAGATCTAATCAAACTTCTAAGTCCCTACCTCTTAAAACCATCATCGGGCATAGGTCTCAACATGTAAGAGGCACAGTCAGTCAGTCTGTAATACAGTCCCTTTATTTATTTGAGGGCTGGGGGTGAGGGAGTACTGGGAATTGAACCCAAGAGTGTTTTACCACTAAGCTATATCCCCAGCGCTACCACCCTCCTTTGAGACAAGGTTTTGCTAAATGGGTAAGGCAGGCCTTAAACTTCATTTCAATCCTCCTGCTTCGGCCTTCTGATTTTAGCTGAGATTACAGGCGTATGTCACCGCCCCTGGCCTAGCACCATTGCTTTATTAAACTCTTTTGAATTATCCAATTTTTGTGTGTCACTGTTTCCTGCCAGAACCCAATTTACCGTCACCCACACTTCCTACTCTGCTCTGTTCAGGGTGTTCGCATGGGGGCTTTGTGGCCCAGCAAGTAAGAACACAGGCTCTGGAACTGGCCCCTGTCTGAATTGTACTTACTAGCTGTAATATTGTGGCCACATTACTTTATTTCTTGGTGCCTCAATTTTGGCCACCTATAAAATGAGGATAGCAGTCTCTACCCTACAGGATCATTATAGGTACTAAGTGAAATGGTCCATATATAAASCTTAATGTGTGATGCCTAGAAATTGCCAGTAAGTAGAGATTATATTGTTTTAACATAATATATGATTATTAACTATAGTCACATGCTGTACAACAGATCTCCAGAACCTGAACATTCTTTCTGAAATTTTGTGAACTCTTCTTTGGCCTTTTCCAGATTCTTTTTCCCCTGAAACTGGAAACCCAGAATTTAAACCTGGGTTGAAAGGACATATGCCACATGGACAGCACTTAGGCACCCCTGCCCCACCCATACCCCTGGCTCCCACTGAGCCCACTCAAGGCCTCCACAAGAACTCCCGAGTGCTGTTGGGAGCTGGGACTTTAAGACTAAGCTGTGAACCTATTTGCTTCTCCAGCTCTGGTCTGCAGGAAATGGCAGGTGGGAGTTGGTGGGAATGAGGTCTAATGGCAGCTGCCTGGCTCACCTGTGCTGTAGCAGAGGTTCCTGCTGCAAGTTCATTTACAGCTGTGTGTGTGGGCACTGAGGCATCAGGGCTGAGAAGATATGGGGATCATTGTCCTTGATGGCTTGCCCTGTCACCTGTTATTCCCAAGGCACCAAGAGATGCAAAGGGATCTGAACTTCTTGAAAGAAATGCCAGATGCTTCTGTTTTACAGCTCCCTGGAGCTTCTGCATCTGTACCTCACAGAGGATCATTTGAGCAGTCTTACAGACCTGAGTTCCACCCTGGCTCTGCCGTGTCCTGGCTCTGTGCCTGAGGGTAAGTCACTTGACTTCTCAGAGACCCTACTTCCTCACTTTTAAAACATGCCAAGAATAGGACCCATCTGTCACAAGGTGGTGGGGAGCAGCAGATGAGATCACTCACATCAACTGCTTTCCTTGTGCCTAGCACACGTGGGAACTTACTAAATGGCCACTTTATATGTTCTGGGTTGGGCTGTCTGGACTCTGAGAATGGAAGAACAAGGCCCCCTGAACATATCTGTCTCCATATGATCTCTGAACTGGGTTTTCTCCATGCTTGGTTTATTCTTATTCTCGTTAAGATTTTTCAGCCCCTTCCCATTACTGGTCTGGTGAGCCTGAAATTTTCTGGGAAAGCAAAAGAGCTTCTCTAGCAGCAATCAGCCTGGGCTCGAATCTGGCATCTTCCAGGAAGGAGGGTGGGAGGGCTCCTGTAGGCAGAGCTGAGTCTGCCAACTCTAGGGACAATTTATATAGTCTTTATTTGGTCTATGTACCTGCATAGTGTTTTGCAAACATCTGAAGTCACTGCTGAGATTGAGAAACAAGGAGCCCTTACTTACCCTGTACCCACATTCCTATCTTGGCAATACTGACTGGAGCTAGGTGTCTGTTCCCCATAGTCTCCCTTGGCTTCCTGTCTTCAGTTGCAGGGTTTCCAGACTTGCAAGCATGCGCATTTGCATCCGTAAGCTGGAGGTTGCTGCACATGCTTCTGTGTGTGAATATACAACTCCCAGGGTTCCCACCACCTGACTTTCTCACTGGCATCTACACCCCCATACCATAGATGTAGCTTCCTATCATTGCAGATGGATCATCCGTACTCTCCTCTAAAGCCAATCTCTCTGCTAGGAGCTAAATCCCACCACCACCACTCCCACTATGGTCTGTTCCTGTTCCCTCCAAAATTCACGCTRGAAAATGAATCCTCAATGCAACAGTGTTGGRAAGGGGGCCAACACATAACCTGAAGGAAGTCTTATACCATATCTTAAGTAATTTTGTCCATAAAATACTTTCCTGATGTAAATTTTCCACTATGGTGTCACATATGCTCAAAAAGTTTTTGGTTTTGGAGCATCTTGGATTTGGGATTAGAGATACGCTATAATTGGCTCTCTTTCTTCCTACTCCCTTGCTGGTCTCACTTGATCTCACCCTTCAAATACACCTACACRCCCGGCAAATCTGCAACTTATAGCCCCAGTCCAAGCCTTCCTCTGAACTCCAGGCTTAAATAGCCCCCAGCTACATAGCATCTCCATTACCAAGTCTAGATGTCTAGACAGATGAGCCTCACTTATCTCAGACTAAATAGCTGATCTTCTCCCCAAAACCTGTGGTCTCCTGTCTCAGACCTCAGTAACCCTGTATTCCAACCCCCTCATTGCAGCATCATTTTTTTTTTTTAGGGCCACTAGTCACTACTGCCTCTTAAATGCTCTTCCCATGTGCCAGCTGAAAGCCCTATGGTCTATTCACAGCGCATAGGAAGAATCTTTAACCTACAAGTCAGATCATGTCACACCTTGGCTGAAAGCCATCTAACCCCTGCCACTTGGAGTAAAGGCTGGTGTCCTCATCAGGGCTGTAAGATCCATGGACCCCTCTGGACTCACCCCCACCACTCTCTCTTCGTGCCTCCTGCTCCAATCATCTGGGCTGTTGGCTGCCTTTCAACAATGCTGGCATGCTCCCCCTTAGGCCCATCTGCCTGGAACATTCCTCCAGGTTCTACATGGCTATGACCCTCAATCTCTTCCAAACCTTGTTGAAAAGTACCTCTCAAGAAACCCTATTTGAGCTGGATACTGTAGCACACCCTGTAATCCCAGCAGCTCCGGAAGCTGAGGCAGGAGATCTAGAGTTCAAAGCCAGCCTCAGCAACAGCAAGATGCTAAGCAACTCAGTGAGATCCTGACTCTAAATAATATACAAAATAGGGCTGAGGATGTGGCTCAGTGGTTGACTGCTGCGGAGTTAAATCCCCAATACCCCTCCCCTCCAAAAAGAAACCCTATTTGAAATTCTACTTTGCCTTCCTCTGATCTCTCCTTACCCTACTTTGTTTTATCCTCCTAAGCATGTTATCTTCTTGATACCATATTGTGGTTTGCTATTTTAAAATACTACCTGTCAGTCTGTCTCCTGACCCCATTCTAAGGAAGGGGCATGGACATACAACAGCACTTGACAAGTATTTCTTGAATACTACACATGAATTTCTAGGAAGAATCATGGCTCTGATAAGACTAGTAGAGAGTTTTGTGTTCCAAAAAAAAATTTTTAAACAAAAAATAAAACACTAAACATTCGTATGGACTAAAAGATGTTTTTAGGGGAAAAACATCTGGTTTTAGTTCTGGTCCTCAAAGAACCTTTCTGAGCCTCTAGAGATACAGCAGCAGAACTGAATATCTATTGCCCTTGGTTTCTTCTAATTCCCTCCTACACATCCATCCTTCTGGTTTGTGTGAATGTGGTGATATTGGGGGGCCCTTCCTCTCATGTCAGGAAACTCTGAATGCTGGCTTAGCAGCAGCTTCAATACCCTATAAGGGACTTCCCCCAGCAGCGGCACAGAGGAGAGAGACCATGAGATTTACCACACAAGTGGGTATTGTATGTGAAGTATGTGCTGGGAGCAACAAGAACAGCAGTAAATACAGAACAGAAAATAACCATCTTTGAAATGACAACAAATGGGAGACATTATCTAAGCACTAACACCTATGGAGGCGGCTGCCCAGCTCTGGAGGGCAGCAGCTCAGGACAGAGAGGCCGACTTCTTTCCAGGTTGCCTGGTCTTCAGTCCTTGTAACTTCTCATCTTTTAGCGCCTTCAGGAATTTATCTGCAGGAGAGCAAAACAAACAGCTGTAGTAGAAAGGAGGACTTTGCCTAACTCTTCCTAAGCAAGCTTCTAGGAAGCAACTGTGCTCCCTACGTGAGCCCCAAACCATCTGTGATCCAAGGCAGGGGTGGGGGATGGGTGGGAAAAACCCAAAAGCCAAAACACATCTAATGGGGAAATACAGTGTCAAGAAATCCAGGAGTTTGGGCTGGAGTTGTAGCTCAGTGGTAGGACGTGCCTAGTACGTGAGGCACTGARTTTGAACCTCAGCACCACATACAAAATAAAGGTATTATGTCCATCTATAACTAAAAATTTTAAAAAAAAATTTTTTTAAATAAAAAAATCTAGGAGTTAGATAAACCCAAGTTTTCTAGGGATTGTTTTCCTTCCATGGCTATAAGAAAAGGTATGTTACAGGGTGTCTGATGAATCAGAACTATTCTCATGGCCCCATGGACCTAAGCACTTAGGTTATTTCWTAATTCCCTTCCTTGTGTGGCAAGGGCAACCAGTTTGGTTTGTGTGAATGTGGTGATATTGGGGGGCAGTTGGAGTGGTCTTTAGCCAGAACAGGGATGGGAAAGGGCAGTTTATGGCTACTGAACACTCTACTGTGCAATAGGCCCCAAACCATCTTACCCTTCGACATGGAGAAATTGGCTCCCACACCAGAGGATACCTGCCCACATGAGCACACCAAGTCTGGCCTGGTCCATATCCCTAAGACTTTGAATCTAAAACCAGATGGCAAAGTCCAGGACCTTGGTGAGGGACTAAAGGGACACAGGGAGGCAGCCCTCCAGCACTGAAAAGTGAATGTCTSTGGGGTTCCCCTTACAGACACTACAACTGATCCTCACCTACTTCCCCCACCTCCCTCCAGAAGACTCCAGTTTAAGAGTGAACATTAAAGGTTAACTTCTCTAGAGATAAGAGCTGTCCGTGGTAGGTGAAGCTCCCTACTCAGGGATGGGGTATTATTGTGCAGGATTAAAGTTCAGAATGCGGGTAGTGGCTGGTGAAGTTTCAGGTGTGAGGTTTAGAATCCAGATTAATAGAATAGTTCAGGATGTAATTTGAGACTAAAGGGTCCAGAAATTTCAGATGTGTGGTTGCAGGGAGGAGTCGGTTGAAATCCAGGATGGGGGTGCGGGTCTGGGTTCTGGGGGACAGATTTTTGGATCAGGGACTCCTGGGGACTGGAGTCTGAGCCTAAAGCCACATTGTGGGGCTCAGCATGGAGCCAACGAGGGAGCCAGGGCAAAAAAGGATGGGCTCAGGTGGCCCCTGAGGGGGTCACGCACAGCGCTGGGAGTCGAAGCCATCCCCAGTGATGGTGAGCAGCTCCAGCTCCTTAATTCGGATCTCCAGCTCGCACAACTCCTCTGGGTGGGAGGCGGAGGCAAGCCGTGGGGTGGCGGGGCCGGGGGCCAGGGGTGAAGCAGCCCCCTCGGGGCCCGGCGGCGGCGAGTAGAAGAAGCGCAGTGGCTCGTAAGGGATGGAGGCCAGGCCGGAGGGCCACGGCGGAGGGCAGGGGCGCTCGCTGGGGGGACCGAGGCCAGGCGGCGGCGGAGGGGCCGGGGCCGGAGGTCCCTGAGGCAGGGGTCGGCCCCCAGCCACCCCACCGGCCGGCGCCCCGCCSGCCTTCAGCGGCACGAAGAGCTTCTTCCAGATGTTGAAGTCGCTGAGCGGGGACGAGGAGATGCCGCGGTCGTAGAGGGAAGGGAAATAGAGGGGCGGAGCCGGCCGCTGGCTCATCGTGGGGCTCTGACTGCCGCGCCGCCCCTTCGGCATCTTTTGAATGAGAGGCTGCGTGGGAGGAACCCCGCGCCCAGAGACTCGCGCCGGGGCCCCGTGTCGCCGGGGTTCTCGGGTTCCACAGGCCACGCCCCGACGGAGCGCGGCCCCACCCTTTCTCTCCAGCCCCGCCCTAGACAGGCGGTGCTCTGAAGTCCGGAGGCCACGCCCCAGAACCCATTGACGTCAGGGCTCGCCTCTATGGTGGGAAGGCCACGCCCCAAGGCCTAACCCGCAGGTTAACGCAGCGCTGCCTTCCAGCCTGGCCGCTTGGCTGCTCCAGCTGCTCTTCGGTTCCTCCAGCCTGTACGTGTCTATTCTTACCCAGAAACAGGAAGCAAGGAGTTGGCCCAGGCTGCGAGAGAAAACCTTTTTCAGCCTTTCTCTCCTTTTATCAGGGAGAGAAAATGTTTCCCAACAGTCTCCCCCTGCGCCAGCACACTTCCCTCATTGCCTTAGTGACCACTCCTCCCTGCAGATCCCCGGAGACAAAAGTGGCTGACTGCTCATTCCCCACAGTGGCGAAGCAAAGGAGAAGAGGATTGGTTGGGAATGGCTGTTAGAACCAATCCATGTTTCTCCGGCACACTTAGCAGTGTCGTAGAAGATTTTGGAAAACAGAATTCTGGTCTGGATTTGTAATGGCCCTGAAGGAAATGATGAAGTTTTGTTCTCTACCAAATGTACAATATCAGGGGCTGACAGGTAACACGATAACCACCAAAGGAAATCCTGCTGGACCCACCTCAATCAGTTCAYTTGTTCTTCATGAGAGACCTGGACATTCTGTCCAAGGGACGTGCTTAAGTATGCATATGAATAGCCTGTGAGTATTAGTCATAGACTGGGGGAAATAAATTTTCCTTGAGAGCCTCAGCCTAATGTTTGTTGGTGTAAATGCATAAGGAGTCAAAGTCAGAGTCAGTAACAGCTCTACAAGTGAATGCTATATATACACATGGGGTGTGTGTGTGTGTGTGTGTGTGTGTGTGTGTGTGCATGTAGCTACAAAGAAGACAGATGTCCAAGCTGGATAACTTGGCAAGTTGTTTGACTTCTAAGTAAGTTTTCTATCAAATAGAAATAAGAGAACCAGACTGCCTCCTTGAGTTATTTGTGATTATCAAGCAGAAGAACAGTGCTTCAATGTGTGAAGCACTTGAAACTTAGAAACTATGCCCAAATGCAAGGGGAAACTCTCCCCACAGAGAGGCTTATCTGCAACTAGGGAGCCCCCCCCCCACACACACACACACACTTAGCTGTGAGCTTCTTGAGGGCAAGAATCCAGCCCAAGGATCCTCTAATATTGAGCGTATAATAGGGCCTCTAATCCCAGCAACTCTAGAGACTGAGGCAGGACATCCACCTCAAAACTTAGTGAGACCCTGTCTAAAAATWAAAAATAAGAAGGRGTGGGGATGTAGCTCAGTGGTACAGCACCCTGGTTTAACCCCCAGTACTRCAAAAACAACCAACCAAAAACCTCACAGGGAACTGATAAGTATTTGAAACTTTTTAAACAGTGTTATATGTAATGGGAACTAAAGGAGATACCACCCTAAAATATGCCACTTATGGTGTAAAGAATTATTTTGAGGCAAAAGCAATTGAGAAACAGCAGTCATAAAAGAAACCCTGTCTGCCCCTTCCTGCCTAAAATCAGAGTATAAATTTCCCATTGTGMAGATGTCCTTCCTCCTGTCCCATGCAAAGAAAAGGACAACTCATTACTGAGAAGGTACTAACTTCAGTCTAACAAATCTTGCCTTCCTGCAGTTTCTCCTATTTGTTTACTTTACCATAATTGATTGTCCCTAGAAACTCAAACATTTTCCCCCTTTCTCTGGTCACTTTTCCACAATTTATAACCCTTTTGTAAGTGGCATATATAAGTTCTCAAGCCTAACCACTTCTTTGGGCTTCCCCTTCCTTTCTACCCTATGTACATGTGRGTAATAATTCTTTTCTTCTGTTACTCTTTTTTCAATTTAATTCACAAGCCCCAGGTACAGATACAGGAACCAAGAGAGTAGAGGAAAAATGTTTTTCCATCCTGTAGAGAACCATCATAGTGGTAAGAGCCAGGTATTTGGACTTACACCTGGGACCGAGTCCTGGATTGACATGTACTTGGTTGYGTGAATGAAACTTTTCTGGACCTCAATTTTGTTTTTCAGTGTATTTTTTTAGTTGTTGGTAGACACACTACCTTTATTTTACTTTTATGTGGTGCTGAAGATCGAACCCAGCACCTCATGCATGCCAGGCAAGCGCTCGACCCCTGAGCCACAGCCCCAGCCCCTCAGTTTTTTAATCTATATAATGGRAATAGTAATGGCACCTACTCACTTGGATTGGCAAGATTACGTGAGATATTCTAAATGCCTAATCATGATATTTGCTCAGTAAAAGTTAGCTTTTGTTATTATGTATTGAAGGTCCTTAGAAGGGAAAGAGATTTTGCCATTATGTTTTGTAAATGATGGAATATAATCACATTTTTACATGTATATATCCTTTTCAAGAGGAAAAGCTTAACAGATTTCCCACCCTTCCTTAACTCCAAGATAATCTGAATAGATTTTATACTGGATAGCTTAAATTATATCCATGTGGTTATTGCTGGTAGTTATTTAAATAAGAAACTGATGACAAAAAGTGTTTTCTCTAACAACTACACAATAAAACTCAAGTATCTCAATCAACAAACATTGAGATAACCCCAAATCTGAAGATAAAGTCCATAGGGGGTAATAAGAAATCACAGTAGATAAGGCAAAATTCTATAGGTTGTTTTGTTATGGCAAGATTGCAATAAATCACCGAGTTGATTTTAAAGCAGGAGACAAAACCATTTTTATTCACCAGCCAGCAGTCCAGATTCACCAGCTGGTGGGCCAAGGGGCAAACTGCAAGTCTACACCCTTTGACACCCTCCAAGAATTAGAGTACACCTTTATAGTCGTATGCTATGCTAAGCAACTGTTGATGGGACAGATGGGACAGAGGCAGGGTGTTCCCACCGGAGAAGCATTTCCTACATGACATGGAGTCTCAGAAAAAAAATAGAGTCTATTTAGTCATTTCCCATATAGCCTGGCACATAACAGTTTGTGCAAATAAATCTTCTGAAAACTCAGGTTGGTGATACAGAGATACAGCAGGCTTAAATACAACTTAAATAAAACCCTTCCCTTCCTGGGTTTCAAAGCACTGTGTCACCTGCCTCTTACTCACATTCCCCATTAAGCACCAGCTGTTGGAGCTGGATCCAATTCCAAACACTCTGAGCCCCACCTTCCTGTGGAACCAATGGAAAGGCCTTTGCAATAAAGGTCAGCTGCAAAAAGTGGCTCTAGATCTGGAAGGCCGTGGGCTTGCTAATAGCACTCCTCTGGACAGAGCCCTCTCACCCAGTGGAGGGTTAGGAAAGCCACAGGCTGGGCTGCAGCCTTTCCTGTTAGAGCAAAGAACAGGCCASGGTCAGGCAGGTGGGTTCTTTCTTCGCCAAACTCACCAGTCGGTTGGAGCACAGAAGTTCCTCTCCAACACTCTGACTTCCACTCTCTGTTTAACTCAGGCTGAATCACTGCCGCTGCAGTTGGCATTTGGAATTCTCGTTTTTTGCAGAGCCCTCTCTAGCCAGGAGGGAATGGAGCAGCTGAGTCATTCGCCTGCTTCCCTCCATCATCCCATTGCTTCCTTTGGAGATAATATAGAACGCCCCCTCTGGCTTGTTCCCCTAGGTTCCCTCCATTGCTTTAGCTCTGCGTCTGGACACCCTGCCAGCCATGGGTGCTTGGCAGTTTTTG